ATCCAGAAACCAGATCTCTGACCAGTTCGTTGTCCGATTTAGCTTTAAAAACCTTGGTTTCTTGTTCGAAGTGTCCACAACAATGGCATTTAGAGGCAAGAGACACCTTTGCGCTTAATGGCTTCATCAACAGCAAGGGAGTTATACATAAACCTCCACATGAAAACTGCTACTTTAGAAGGTAAACCCACATTCCATATGTGTTTGGCCCAGTTAATAGGGGTGTCAATTGGACTGGATTTGGTCCAATCTGAATTAGTCCAATGCGAGTCAATTATAAATGGACCAGGTCCAATCCAATTCAATGAATGTTTTGGATCAATTTGGAATAGTCCAATTTAATGTTTGGATCATCTAATATGTTCAAATTCATTTTGATTTAGATTGGTTTCAACCCAAACCTGATCCATTAGCACATATATTCTTATATTATACCAATGGACCAGATATTGGCTTAATCCAATCCAATCTGATATAAAATTGTTACGGATGGACCAGATCCAATCCAATCTAAGAAATATTTTGGACCGGATTGGTCCAATCCAATATGTCTTGTTGGTCCATCAAATTTGTCCAAATTGATTTCGGACTGGATGGGGTCCAATCCAAAACCGGTCCATTAACGCCCTTACCAGATAATAGTAGCTCCTGTAGGTCTTACAAAGTTCCAGGTAGAAGAGATAAAGAAATTTCCAAAGTATTACCTGCCCACACTAACTTGTCTATAGAATTACTTAGCTTCACATCTGAGCTGGTGGCAAGAAGTTTAATGTCAACATCAACATTTAGGTTATCTGAAAAGAACCAGGTCCCATCCATGTTAAGGACCTCATTTAAACTAAAATTTGAGACTTCGACATTGCTAGTTTCATAGATAAGTAAACCATGACCTAACCAATTGTGGATTTCACCATGTCCCACCAGCCATCTGCTGTGATTAATAGTTAGGTCCCTCACCTCAATGATCTCCTTCCAAAATCTTGAGCTAGCTTGTGTTCAAAGAAGAGAGAGCCAAAGGAAGATAGCCTTGGTATCTTCAGGTAAAAAATTGGGCCCAAAGAGGGTCATTTTTGATTAATTTGAAGCACAATTTGATTCTAAAAGCTTAATGTCCAATCCTCCCTCATTGTAAGATTTGCAAATTTGCTCCCAGCTACACCAATGAAGATTATCACCGAGATCAGAATGGCCCAAAAAAAAATCTGGCTAGAAAAGCAGTTCACCTTTTTTTTTTTTTTTTTAATTACTCTTCTATATTCTGATGATGAGTTTGATATACAAGCGTTTGAACTGCTAATATCCGAAGAGTTTTCAATTAACAATGAGGTTTATTCGCAACATATAAAAACTAAAAAAGCATTCGCACTTCGATCTTACTCGTCGGGTAGCCTTGATTTGTAATAGGGGCCCAAGTAGGTAGTCCGGTCCCGGCCCAGACCCACCACTCATCATATTGGGCAAACCACAACACCTTTTTGCTTATTTGGAGTTGAACATTAATTTTGTTTGGTTCTTTACTCAATCATCATGGGGCACTGAAAGGTAATAATGGGTCCGTATTGGGCTAGATTAGAGGCCCGACTGGACAGACTGGACCGACCCAACATTTTAGCCAATTGACCAAGTTTACATATGCTGCACCATGGTTACAACATTTCCTTACAACTCCCCAATAAAATATGGATATGGTTGCAGCTGAATCAAAAGATGGATTATTTTGATATTTTATTTAGATATAATCATAAATATAAATATAGGTTATTTGAGTTGAACTTGTATCACCTTAAATTAAATTTGGACAAAGAGATGATATTTGGAGCCCTGATTTCTTCAGCTCCCAACCCTAGTTGCTAAGGCAGACCTACCCTTAGTTAGGGTGCCTCCTACCCTAGCTAAGGAAATGAAATGAGTGATAGAACCAATGATTTTGTCCAATGGAAGTGGAAGTAGGGCACCTTCGATCATTGACTCCGTAATCCCACCTTCTTCCATGCGTGTGCAAATCCATCTTCATTCTTGCCGCCGAAGCTTCCTCCCTAAACATGCTTTGCCATCACGCCAGGAGACATGCATAAAGCAAAATATGTTGCATCTTTCACTCGATCTATCGTGTATTCACAAAGTGGATGGTTCGAGATGAACGAGGTTCCACATCCTACTAGTTGAATAATGTATTTGAGATCGCTTCTTTTTCTAAACCAATGGAGAATAAATAAATAGTTCAGTGGGTATTTGTTCATCGCTAAAGTTTGTATTTATCCCTGCGTAAGAAATATATATGCTTCTCTTACTAATCAAATTTGGTCCGATCCGATTTAATCCAGAATTCATTACAAATGGACTAGGTCCAATCCAATTCAATGAACACTTTAGAATTTTGACATTTTGAATTAGTTTAATTTAATATTTTGTCTGTCCAATCCATCCAAATTAATCTTGATTTGGATGGAATCCAACTTAAAACTGGACTTGTCCAGTGACACCCCTACTTCTGTGCATGTCTTTTAGGTCAAGGCTAGGGTGCAATTTAGAAACTAAGTCCAACCCATACAAAAGCTAGCTTGGTTTGGTCGGGTAGTCTGCATCCAGACTGGGTCGGACCCCACATAAGTAGAAATAGAAGAACTAAATTCTGCAACTGGGGAAACGGACAGAAAAAATGTGGTAGTGGATGTTGGCTCATCTTTCACATGGATGGATGCACGTAGTGTATTTGTTTTGTAGGATCAACGCAATAAATAAATGAATAAAAATCTTTAATAAACAGTTGCTTTCTAATTTATATTTAAGTTATACATATTTTATCCAGCAAAATACAAGGCGTGCTACTGCAGCAAGTGCTTTTGTGAAAAGAGTCCGGACAACACATGTGCCTACAATTGTTTTTATCTGCAGTCTGTAGATCCAGACTGTGCAATAAAATTTTGGGATGGTGACCTTGACGTCTGGCCAAGGGAATCATCGTCGACTCTTCCTGTTTGTTCGTTCTTCTTTCTCCCTTCATTCTATACCCAAGATTCCCTAAACATTGAGCCAAATCATAGGAGTTGAAGATTCAGTTTCTCAAACTTGCCATATCATCATCATTGATCCCTTCTCTATCATCTTTGGTACTCAGATTTGATCATCTTAATTTGCTGTTATACTTGTATTTGGGTTACCAATGAAATACTACCTCATCTCTTAGCTTGCTTGGCTGGTATTATTTCAATATATATATATATATATATATATGTACATGTCCTCCCTTCTTGTTTGGTTGCAAAGCAATAAATTTGTATTAATACAAAACCATAATAGTGCAAAAGATTTGAATGTAAATTCTGACCAATTATTTGTTTTAAATTTTAGCTTATTTTGTTTAATTGTAGTACAAATGAAATCAATTAAAACATCAAACAGAATAAAGTAAAATTCAAAACAAAATTAAACAAGAATTTGCATTTTTTATATTTACACTCCCATACATTTATATTAGTGCAAATAAATTTGCACTACAACCAAACACAGCATAAGGCTCAGTTTGAAAGGAGCACAAGTCCAAATATATACAGTACAAATACATACAAAATACAAGGTTATGCACTCTACATATTTATATTTGTGCTCCCTCCAAACTGAGCTTAAGGCTGTGTTTGATTGCAATGCAAATAAATTTGCACTGATGCAAAATTATGACAGTGCAAGTGATTTAAGTGTAAATTTTGACCTATTTTTGTTTCAAAATTTAGCTTATGTTGTATGGTTGTAGTACAAATGAAGTAAATTAAGACATAAAGCATAATAAAGTAAAACCCAAAATAAAATTAAATGAGAATTTGCATTCTTTTTCATTTGCACTCCCATACACTTGTACTAATGCAAATAAAATTACATTGCAACCAAATACAGCCTAAGTCTCAAAATAAAACGAAGCTTAGAAAAGCTTCGATAGAAGTCTTTTCCAATTTTTTGCTTCGTGCTTTCATTTTAAAACCTGCAAGTCTTTTCTTTAAACTCATCTAATCATTATTTAAGGCAATTTTAAACATCGTTCGATCATTTTCCACTGTCACGAGACAAAGGCAAGCGTTCAGAGAGCAAAATTATCAAACTGCAGGCTTTCAAAACTTTCGTCTTTGTTTCTGAAGCCTAAAAGATCGTTTTTCTTTTTTTTTGATTTTGAGTATTTTTCAGCAAAGGGAATGTATATTTCATCCTTTTGACCTGTTTGAGAATCTGTTTATAAATTGCATGAATTTCTCTTTCCAATTTATAGATGAGTGCAAAAGGTAAGAAAAAAAATGCGAGTCCGTTTGGTTATAATTGGAATTGGAATCGGACTGGTTATAATGACATTCAACATGAATGGAAATGAGATTCTAATTCTGTTCAACAAAACAGTTGGAATCAAAATAATTCATACTGATTCTAAATCCAAACCTCTATTTTTGAAAACCAAACGGGACCTATTTTTTCATGTTTATCAACTAAAAGAATAATTTATTTTTTTTCTTGTTTATATTCATTTTTATTTGTATGAAAATATTTTAATTGTGAGAGAGAAGATGTTATTTTTATTGCTTTCTTTAAATTTTAAAATAAAGAAAAAACAGTGGGGGGGGATATAACAATGACTATAATAAATGTTTTTGTAAATGAATATAGTAAACGTTTTTGTAAATATGAAGAAAACAAGCGATCCTACAGCTTTTACACGATCGGGACGATGCACAACATAAATACATACAAAATAATACAAAACATAAGATTTTATACTTTACGAATTTACATTTATACTCCTTTCAAACTCAAAAGGGATCTGCTCCTCACACCTGATCCCTTACACGCCTCTCACACCTCATCCTACGATGCATTGAGAATGGGAACATCTTCCGTACTTATTAATCATTAATCACGAGAGATATTTCCAATCTACGGTGGATGTGCGTATGAGACACCCATTTGTGACGAGCAGATCCCTCTATTGAGTATTGACTTCTCTATACAAAAAAAAAAAAGGGAGAACACCACTCCTCGATATTATTCGCATTTCTGTATTTTGTTATTTTCTTTGTTTCCAGGGAAACCCCACCTCCTCAATTAACGACCCACGATGCTCCTCGCCTGTCTGTGCTGAAATCCCAATTCCCAATTCCCAATTCCATCCCATGTGACCACCGACAATATTGTACTCCCACTCTCTTTCTCAGTCGCTCGTCTTCACTCTTTTATCCTTTATTGTCTTCATCAATCTTTCTCAGAAGCAATACTCTTTCTCTTTCTCTGGTTATCATCGACGACAGATGTCCATGGCCAGGCTGGTAGTCTTCTTCGCTCTCTGCGTTCTTCCGGCGCTCGTCACCGCAGCCCGTCCCGCCAAAAACCCTTTCAACGTCGTCGGCCGCGTTTACTGCGACACCTGCCGCGCTGGTTTTGAGACCCCAGCCACCACTTACATTCCCGGTACGTACACCTTCTAAATTCTCCACTGCCTCTACTTTCGTGGTCTCAATTTCCTCCTCAAGGATCACAACCGTTTATCAAGTGCCTAATTTTTTCTAGATCTTTGTCTGTGTAGTTTTGGGTGCTTGCTATGTATCCCCTGACCCGAAGGTAGACCATGTCTATCATCAGATCTAAAGAATTTATTAGAAAAGGAAGCTTCTTGTTGACTGGTTCTATGGGATCCATCAATATACATAAACTTCTTATTATGTGAGGTGCATCCTGTGCCACTCTTCTAGGGTATATGGTGTTAGTCTTTACTGTGCTACTCTGCAAGTGTTTATTTGCACTGTGACGATGACTTCGACCACGATCTCCGACGGGTGACGGCAGTTCAACCATTAACCCTCTAAGCTTTCGGCTCATATTGGCCAAAGCTTCACAGAGAAAAAGTGAGGTTTGGTCGGGATGGGGAACTAGGGAAGATCCTAGGCAAATTCTTCTGTTGATGTCACATGTAAACAAAGTCATGGCAGCGATTTGCTACATTCATTCCAAATGCTGGATTGCTGGTCTTGGTAGCTAAATCTCGACCCATCAGGGACGACTTAGCCAGATTTATGCCTCATCTTCAGACCCTTCTGAACTATTTATCCAGTTGATCGGTTTAGGCCTTGAAAAGTTTGGGTCGAACACCTTGGTTACCTAGAGGTTTCCAATGTTTCATCAAATTTCGGGTTTGATCAAACACCTGGTGGGGAGGGCGGGATTCTGGGTTTACTAATTAGTGTTTTGCTTTGCGGTTGCCCGTCGATACCCATGACCCATTAACTTGCACTACTGCAATTGAAGCCAGTTCGTGGTAAATGATAAATGGTTGAGCTGAAATGAAGATTGAATGAATTAGTTTGTAATGGACAGGTGCAAGGGTTAGGGTGGAATGCCGAGACCGAGACAACCTGAATCTGCTCTTCAGCGTTGAAGGTGTAACGGATGCGACTGGAACGTACAATATCCAGGTCGCAGAAGACCACGGGGATCAACTCTGTGAAGCAGTCCTTGTGAGAAGCTCTCAAGAAGACTGTGGAAAGATTGAGTCAGGCCGTGAGCGAGCAAATGTGGTTCTAACCCGCAACAACGGGGTTTTGTCGGACAAGCGTTTCGCCAACAACATGGGCTTCATCAAAGATCAGCCCCTGGCTGGATGTGCCGAGATTCTTAAGCAGTACCAGAGTGAGGAGTACGAAAACTAGAGCTTCTTCTTCTACTACTTACTTCTCGGTAGAATGGTAGCCCCCCCTCAATAATTTGGTTGATGATGCTCTCGTTATTTTATCAATATATCTTTAATTATTGTTCGAGTCATTGAGATGAGATGATTTCCTTTCATGTCTTACTGAACTGAACTCTTCTTTTAACTTATAAATCCATTAGAGAGTCACTTGTTGTGGCTTAGCAACAACAATGTCATGTGTAGGATACTAGGATTTATGCCTTATACATTTAAGTTTTCTAACAGATAGTCTTCTCCTTATTGTATATAATTGGGCATAGTAGATCCTTCTAGGTTCTAGCCTATTGCTATAAGATGAGTTCGTGCCCCACAGAGGTATCTCGACCGATCCTCTGCCGTTCAGCCCATGTATGGAACGATGGGAGGTTGGCCGAATGTTGGGCTGGTGCCAATAGCTTCATTTCTTTTTTTCCTTACTTGTGGCTTTTTTCCCGATCAAAATATGGGGCGTATCTCATATCCCGTATCCATTGACCAATGTCATGGAGTACCAGTGCATATTAATACCCATTTTGTTTGGGTTAGCATAACAAGGTATGTTGCACTTTACCAGTTGTGTCCGGGGGTGTCAATTGGAGACTGGATTTGGTCCAATCCGATTCATTACAAATGGATCAGGTCCAATCCAATTAAATCTATGGACCATCCTATCTGTTCAAATTTGTTTTAATTTAAATTAATTCTAATTCGAACTTGGTCCATTGGCACCTAAACCTATATTTTTATCTTTCTATCAATGGACTAGATAATCGTTCAATTCAACCCAATTCAATATAAATTCATTATGGATGAATCAGGTCTAATCCAATCTAATAAATACTTTGGATCACCAAGTCTGGACTGGTCCAATTCAATATGTCTTGTTGGTCCGCCTAATCTGTCTAAATTGATTTTGGTTTGGATGGGTCCAATCTAAAACCAGTCCATTAACACCCCTAGCCTGCCATACCACCTCCAAAAGATTAAAGCATTCTACATTCCACCCCCGAACCCTCTGGTTCTTGTCCATCAGATCTGTCTAAATTGATTTTGGTTTGGATGGGTCCAATCTAAAAGCAGTCCATTAACACCCCTAGCATGCCATACCATCTCCAAAAGATTAAAGCATCCCATAAATGATTTGTAAAGGTTTCTCCATCTTTTCTTTCCTTACCCTATTTTTTCCTTCAAACCAAACACAGCGTTAAGGTAAAAACAAAATAGTGCAGAATGTAATCTAAATTGCTGCTTTCTAGTTTTAGAAGGCAGAGTGGACATCATATAGCATATAAAACATCTGAAGTCTGAACTATCGCTTTCAAAGTCTACAAAAAGGCATTACTCTTAGCCTTAAGACCGTTAACTAGGGGTGCAACTAGGGGGAGCCCCACCTAGCCCTAAAAGTTCAGGGTAGCCCAAGTCCAACCTGAGTTCAACCTCATTATATATATGTATATATGCATATATAAACATATTTTCATATATACATGTATACATACATACTTTTTAATAAATCATATATATACACATACATGTATATAAAATTTTTGTGGGTTGATTAACTGGCCTGAGCCCAACCCCAACCCTAGTATATCAAAATTTAGTGTGAATTGGGCTCAGATCGGATAGTTATTGGGCATGGGTTGAAGTAAAATCCAGTCCAGCCTACCTGAGTTGCACCCCTACCATTAATTGTTACAAACATAATAGCATCACCTTTTATATCGAAAAGAAAAAAAAAGGTAATAGCATCAAGTTCAAATCTGTGCCGCACCGGCTCTCGCCCCACAAACGCCCCACACGCTGAGCGTCCGTCATCTGTCCCTTCGCATGCAATTAGCTTGTCCTGCCTTTGGGGCTACCAGGACGGCCGTTAGCTCGTCCAGTTATCCCCAAAACTAGCCCAAAACCGAGTCAAACATTCCTGCGTGCTTGAGCTGCCGGTCCCCTGACCCCGTTCTTCTTCCTTTACCCAAGTTCTCCTTTTCCGGCATCGGTGACCGCTTCGGTGAGTTCACCTTGAGCAGGTAGTCTCCAACACTATTTTGTTGAAATTGAAACACAATGCTATTTTGTTTTTTCATTTCAAATCAGCAAAACCTCAATTCCCTGATATTTTATTTTCTCATTTCAAATCAGAGAAACCACCAACCATCTACAACGACCACCGGCGATCATTCTGCCATTTCACTGTCACTGGTACTCTCCAACTCTCATATTATCACTCTTCATACATTTTCTTATTTTTTTTCTTTATTTTTCTGATATTTTGGTTTTTCAGAAATCAGAGAAACCACTGGCAACCGTGGTTTTTCCTCCGGCACCGGCGATCATCCGGCCATTTCACTGTCACAGGTACTCTCCAACTCTCATAGAAACCACTCTTCCACAAGACATTCCTCTGTGCCATTCTTTCTCTCAAGTCTTACCTATATTGGATTCGTCCAGTCATCTGTGGAAAAGAACTTGGGTTTGGACGTTTGATAGCTGATAAAATGTCGAAACTTCGCCATCTTGAACTTGGGTTTGGACGTTACGGTGATCGTGGTCTTGGTGCCATCTTTACATCTCCAATACCAGCTGCACCTGATAGTACACTAAAACGAAGTTTCAGTGATCGTGGTCTCGCCGATTGGATAAAAAAGAAAAGAAGAAAGAGATCCAACACTTCAGTGAATTTTTTCCTTTCTTTTCTTTTTTTGTTATTCTTTGAATAGTCAGAATCAGAAGAGCACAGTGCATTTTGCCCTGCCCATAACAAAAATATAATTTCCAGGAGAACAATGAATGAAGGAAGCTTCTGCAAAAGGACAATAGAAATCAAATGCCTGAATCAAAAACAATCTGCGCCTGATGATCCCTGAAATCTGTTTTAGCAATTATCTTCTCCCTGGGTTTGAATTTTCTGTCAAATACTGCTTTCCTCTCAATCCAGAGGCTCCGGAAAATGGCAAATAACATCAACTTCCACTGGATATTGCCTCCGCTGCTGAGATCCAAGACTAGCCATGCTGTTATCAGATCGGTCAAATGCCTAGGCATCACCCAGGATCCGTTGGGCAACTGAATGAAGTGTAGCCAAATATCATACACATAAGAATAATATATGTTGGAGAATACTTGGACAGAGTGAACTCACTGGAGCGGTCGCCAGTGCCGGAGAAGGAGAACTCGGGTGAGGGGAGAAGAATGGAGGTCAGGGGACCCGCAAATCAAGCACGCGGGAATATTAACTCGATTTTGAGCTAGTTTTGGGGCTAACGGGACGAGCTAACGACCATCCCGTTAGCCCCACATGCGGGACAAGTTAATTGCGTGCGACGGGTTTGATGGCGGACGCTCGATGTGTGGAGCGTTTGTGGGGCGAGAACTGGTTGGGCGCAGATTTAAACTCTCAATAGCATCACTTCATGCTTTTTGAGCTTTCAAATCAGTCTTTGCTCCATCTCCCCTGGGAGTCTGGGACTCTAATAAAAATGGTTCCACAAGTTATTGACAAGTAGTAACCTGAGGGATGAATTGGATATTAAAAGACACTGATAGGCCCGAACTAGAATTAGGGAACTCATGGTCCGGGAATACATTGATACTGATGAAAAATATGAAAATGGTTGGATATATTAGGGAAACAAATATAAATTTCATAAATATATTAATAATACTAAGGTTAAATAAATATAAATAATATATAAATAAATAAGAAATGTATATTTTTATGATGTATATGAAAAAATATATTACAATTAATATAATAGGATGCATAGATATCATACGTACAACTTTATTAATAATGCACAAATCAAGAATCTAAGACACAAAATATATGCATTTATTGTATTTTAATTATTATATCAATTATTTTCTATTTTACTATTTTTTATATTAACAAGAAGTCAACAAAATATTAAATTCTCAAATGTAAATTAAACTACCAATTAATAATTTATAAAAATATATAATCTTAACTTAAAATGTATCAAATATATTAAAATTTCTAAGATGTATATCATATGCAAATTCATAATTTGTGTTTTTATAATTTTTATGAAATTAAAAATCATTTTATGATATAAATATAGATTAATAGATTTGATACATTCAATATAATATTATAATCTTGAATGTTTTGTAAAAAAAATCTTATTTTTGTAAGTGATAAATATGTTATTATTTAATGTATATTAAAATTAATTAATTAATAATATATATATATATATATAAAGATACATATTATGTACAAATTTATAAATTTTCTGTATTAATATTTTATTTATTCTGTTATTAATATTTTATTTATATAAATTTCTTAATATCAATATCATCTTTTGATTTTAATGTGAACTTGATAGGTCATTTATTTCATTAGTTTATAAAATACTGATTTTGAATATTGTTTTTTAACTTTCGACTAGAGGTGTTAAATATAAATATGTCTCGTTTATTTGGATTGCATGTGGAGACCAAAGTTAATAAAAACTATTTTATTTCATTTAATATCACAAGAGGTAAAACAGCCTAATATTTGGGGTCTGGACACAGGTGGTAGGTGATCTGGGTTTGAGTCATACTATTTTCATTTATAAAATAGAAAGGGAGGCGCGATGGTAGTATTCATTCTATATCATTCCATGTTGGTGTGTATTGAATGATACAATATGATACACACTTGTTTCCATCCAATACGCATGATTAATATGATGCACCTCTAGTCATAGCATATCCCATGCTAATTATAGTTGATACCCATAAAGAGATGGAGGGAGAAACAAGAAAGAGAGATTGTTACACTCTCTTAAAGTGACTCGTACATGTAAATGATCCCTCACGCGCAAAACTGACATGGAATATTTTAATTGGACACGAAATCCACTAAATAGTGTATTACGTTTAGCTAATCCAAACTCTTTGCCACGGTAATCTTGCAAGGAACCATCATGCTACTTTTCTAGCAAAATACCATTTTATGCTATTTACTAGCAGCGGTAGGGCACCATGGACCCATGTGATGCAATGAAATTGGTTTTAGATTAATTGAAAATTTAATAAAATTTTAATTAATTTTAGAATTTTTATTTTTAATTAAATACATTTAAAATTTATTTATGTGTTTATTTTAATTGGAATTCAAAATTAAATTAATTATTATTTTTAAATATTCAATAATTAATTTTAAACTTTGTAATTAATGAAATTGTTATTTTAAGTTGAACATTACTTTATTCTTATGTAATTATTTTTAAAATTTGTTAATGCATTTGAAATGGATCCAAAATTAAGAAATTTAATTTTAAAAATATTAAAGTATTAATTCAATGCTCAAAAAATGATAATAAAACATTGACAGAATTTTAAGAAAATGCTAAAATTATAATAAAAACATTGAATTTAAGTAATTAAAAAAAATGAAATATTAACAGAAAAACAAGAATTGCAACAATCCATCATTTATGAAATTTATGGGTCTGAATAATTGGTGGATCCAAGTAATAAATGTAGTAGAAAATAATATGATTAACAGAAAAATAATAATTACAACAATTCATCATTTATGAAATTGATGAGTCTGAAAAATTGGTGGATCCAAGTAATAAAAACAGTATAAAATAATGTGGTTACATGGGACCCACATAAAGCATGGGTTTTGAGATTTAAACGGGTAAATTAAATTTTAATGGATTCGCATAGATCCACCATATAAGGGCCGATGGAATCACCCTAATTTCAGAGCAGGTTATGCGAACACTTTTTTTTTTTTGCATGTTCACCAAAGAAAAAGACAAAAAAAATCATAAACCGGCGATGTCTCTTTCCTCTTATATTCAACCACATTTTTTGTATTTCTCACCTCTCAACCACATTTTTTTTTGTCTCACCGACTCCCTTTCCCACAAAACTCCATTTCTCTTTTGTGCTTTGTTTGTCTATTGCGCAGCTGAAATTTTAGAAGGATAATTCTTCTTCTTATTATTTTTTACCATGATCAAGGTGCAAAGAAGAAGACCTAAAAGATTTATCTTTACTACCTACATCTTTGTTCTACCTCCTTCGCCTCCACCTTGGGTCACCGTCATTGTTTATGGTAAGGTTTTAAAAACCGGATTGGACACGGAACCGTTATGAGATCGGTTCCCAGGTCAAACGGTCCGATCATATGGTTTGAATAGACAACCTATTTTGGCTTAAAAAAGAAAAAATAAAATAAATAAAATAAAAAACGGTTAAAAACTATTGTTTGGATCGATGGTTCAACCATTTGGTTCAACAGGTCGCTAACTCAATTAATAGTGTTTGGCCAAAAAATGATTTTACGGTGAAATGGAATCGGTTACCTAACCATCTGGTTTGGTTCGGTTTTCAAATCATAATTCATAGTACCATGGAGAAAAACAAGTAATAGTATCACTATTTCTACTATTCATAGAATGATGGTGAGAATTTAATACTTGTTAAAAACGTCAAATGGGTGAGGAAACTGGAACTTCTACATTGGTTGATGTGGGTATATTTGGTCGGTTCGCCAGATCTTGACACGTGGTATTGGCGAGGGATATTACCAACTAGCGATTGTTCATTAAGGGCACTTGGTAATTCCTGCCCTTAGCGGTTCGTCAAGCACTTAATGTGGGTGCACATCCTAGGTGCATTTACTCTTGGGCCAGTAACATGGTTCTCCATGCTCCCACCTCAATCCATCAACTCCTAGGATTAGCTGCAGATCTCTTTCTGGGGCACTTTGCGAGCAGCCGACAATGCTAGAAGGCCTTCATTTCCCTGATGTCCATTAAGTAGAAACATGGGGAAAGCCTTCGAGATTACATAAAGAGATTCAATCAGGGAGAACTCAAAGTTAAGGACTTGAACCCTTTGCTATCTATGACTGCCGCCATTAGTGGCTTTCCCCAGGGCCCCTCAGCTGGTCCATCTCCAAAACCCCGCCAAAGAACAAGGCAGAGTTCCTGAAAAAGGTACAAAAGTACATAGTGGCTGAGGAGGTCGAAGCCAACAAACGCCTCAAGAAATGGGTCCCAACGAAAAGAAAAGGAAGTCCAACTACTAGGCATCGCCCTTAGTACTCTCCTCGGCGATCGCCCCTTGTCCATCGGCCTGAAGAGCAATGTTTCCACCCTGGTCCTCGGCCGTCTCCACGACCTCCACTAGCTGTTGGGCCTCAAGGAAAGGGTCCAGTTGATTGATGTCAAAGTTGGGGAAGACTTTCGACACCTGGATCTTGCAATCCTTGAAGCCCTCCAGGTAGGTGCGAGAAGCGAAGTGGGCCAAGTCTCTCTTGTGATCATTCGAGGCCTTATAGGTAGCTATGGCCTACTAAGAGGATTCCTTGAGTCGTTGCTCTAATGAGCTAATGGAAGATCTTAACTCCTTCGTCGAAATCTCGCTCTCTACCTTCTTCCGTCGTTATGTACTTTTGTACCTTTTTCATGAACTTTGCATTGTTCTTGGGTGGGGTTTTGGAGATGGACCAACTGAGGGGCCCTAGGTGAAGGCCACTGATGGCGGCAATCATAGATACCAAAGGGTCTAGGTCCTTAACTTCGAGTTCTTCATGATTGAATCTCTTCATGTAATCTCGAAGGTTTTCCCCGTGTTTCTTCTTAATGGACATCAGGAAAATGACGATCTTCTGGCATCATTGGCTACTCGCAAAGTGCCCCAAAAAGAGATCTACAAATTGATCCCAAGAGCTAATGGACCATGGTTGGAACATGGAGAACCATTTGTGGGCTGCTCCCTTGAAATTGGCCTGAAAGGCCCTGCAATAAGTGCGTTAGAGTAGCCATGGAGGAGAATTAGGGCACAAAAACTCTCCAAATGGTTTTCTGGGTTTGTGCTCCCATCATAGGTATCGAGAGTAGGCACTTTGAAGTTTGGTGGAGGGGCTCCGAGGTGATGGAGTTGACAAAGGCCTCTGCTCGAGTCAACGGGGCTGATTAACTGGTGAACACATCACATTAGCCTTCTTTGACCAGCCTAAACTCATCTTGCATGGTGCCTATCTACGCTTAGAGGTCCCCGATACGCTGGTCATATTGAGGGAGGGGAACCTCGACTGCGTCCCGAGGTCCTCTTACCTAGGAGAGATCCGCTTGGTTTCCAGAATTCTTCGACTCGACCTGATCCCAAGCTCTTTGG